AGATTTTGCAGGCGTGCCTTCTTGACCGTTAAGCAAACCTTGACCGGGACCACCTTCCACCTGGAAACCGATGTCCTCTCTGTGAGAGAACATGCGGATGGTCCTCCAAGTGTACTGTCTTGGCGGTGGATACACAAGTGGCTGGGGAACCCTAATGTATCCACCGCCAAGACAGTACGCTTGGAGGACCATCATCCTTGGACTACAAGGGATTGCCTAAGTAATGTTTTGCAGAACTTGAAAATACTGAATTACAAGTAACATAATTACCTACAATTAAGGGGTTGGACATTAGGAATTTTAAGGTATTTTGGCACCCATTTTCCAACTTTTCTTTTCAATTCATTTCACAGCTCTTACTGGTGGGCCAAAGGGTCTTAAGCACTAATTTGAATCCATTCCTCAGACAATGTGATCTTAAGCAATTTATGTCTTCAAAACTCCATAGGAGGCCCTCTTTGTGAAACACTTTGAATACTGCACTACCATATCGGGACAAATAATTATTTTAAGTGAACTGTGTTCTATGCAGGGTGGAGGTGTGTTTATGTAAGATAAACTAGAATCCATGGAAGCATGGAAGCAAAACAAGTGGGAACATCAAAGCAGGAATGTTCAGGGTCTAGATCGAGATTCAACCCCAATGTTCCAACTTTAAAAAAAAATTATAGTTTCCTTAAAATATTCCCTTAAACGATTTAGTAGCCTTTCCCCCAGAAAACAGGAAGTGAGCAGAACTCATTTCTGATATTTAAAAAAAAGAGATTTCAATAAAATATCTGAGGGAAGGAAACGTGGTAGAATTGTATTCCCGGATATCCTACAATGCTAAGCAATACATTCTTTGCGTTGTCGAAGACTTTCATGGCTGGAATCACTGGGTTGCTGTGAGTCTTCCGGGCTGTATGGCCATCTTCCAGAAGAATTCTCTCCTGACTTTGCACCCGCATCTATAGCTGGCATGCTCACAACCTCTGAGGATGCCTGCCATAGATTTGAAGGAAACATCAGGAAAGAAAGCTTCTGGAACATCGCCATACAGCCCGAAAAACTCACAACATTCCAATACATTCTTTTTTCAAAAACTTATTTTTGAGAATGCAGCCAAGTTGGCTGTATTTCCTCCATCTTGTGTTAAAGTAAGAATCCATAGGGGTAATGACACTTTAAGGAAATGTGCACATACTCAGTAAATTAGTTATGGCTTAACTGCTAAGGCCGTAATTCCTAGCCTTTGGTCCTTCAGGTGTTTTGGCCTTCAACTCCCAGAAATCCCAGTTGGTTTAACAGCTGTTAGCAAACGTGGAAGCTGAAGTGCAAAACGTCTGGAGGACCAAAGGTTGGGAACCACTGTGCTAAGGCATCACTAAAGTATAAAACATACATATACTTGTTGAAGGACTCTTGGGGAAAAATCTACATTCCATGCAAGGATTCCAATGACCAAAAGTCATTTTGTAAGCCATCTCAATTGGCGATCCAATCGTGACCACACTCTATGTCCTCGCCATCCTAGGGAAGGCCAATGGAAGAGCTTTTTTACAACCGCACTGAGTATGACTCTAATTGAATTTCCACTGTCAATATTGCCTTTTCTTTATAGCAGTGGTTCTCAACCTGTGGGTCCCCAGATGTTTTGGCCTTCAACTCCCAGAAATTCTAACAGCTCGTAAGCTGGCTGGATTTCTAGGAGTTGTAGGTCAAAACACCTGGGGACCCACAGGCTGAGAATCCACTGCTTTACAGGAAATATAAATATGTCTACTAAAAAAGTTAACCAGTCCATAGTTTGAACAGGCTACTATGTGACAACAATAAAGGGTATGTGTTCGAAAATCTGCTGGCAATGAAAGCTCAGCAACTCCAGGCCAGTCTTTTCTAGATAACCAATCTGAAATAGTTCTCTACAGATACTGAATTAGTGCCTTCCTGACTTGATAACACCAGAGGACACTCACACATGAACTGGCAGCTCATTCATATCATACAGAAAAGCAGCCAGAAATTTCTTAAAAAGCCAGCAATCCAATGTCCTGGGTCCATTAAGGATAAGATCTTCCACAACAAATTAAATAAAACAATTTATGGAGGCCGGTGCTTGAGATAAAATAGATTTACGGGTTGACCTTTTATTCATTTAAAGAACAAAATTAGCTCTAATTGTATTAGAATGGAATCCAGTAAATTTCTCCTAATGTGGCATTTATGCAAGTGGTGCTGTAATTGTTTACTGCAAAGATAGAAATGCTCTGATTATAATCTATTTTCCACTTGGTTTTACTATGCAGTCAAGGCACTTGTAGGGGGAAAAAATCACTTGAAAATTAACACTTTCTCTAGACCATGTTGTCACTATTTAGAAGAGCTATACTGGAATCTTCACTGATCTGAGCACACACATCTAAAACATTACAAAGGAAATTAATTTTGCAAAAAGGTAGCAGATATTTGCAAGAAGCTGTTCTGTCCCCAAGAGTTTGCCTAGGAATCATTAAAAATGTTATATCCATTTGAGCACTTGTGAATTGAGCAGCAAGCATAAAGAAAATAGTTTCAGTTTGCAACAAGAACCATCTTAGGAGAAGCATTCCTTAGTGTGAAAAATAAATAATGCCTCTTCTAAGAAGGCACAATGCAATATTTAGTTCATGCAACAGATCCTCAACATACCTGGGTTTGATCTTTTACAGATTCCATTATTCATGGATTTGATCAAAATGTTGTCTCTCTGAATCTCTAGGCCCTTTACTGCAACTCTATTGCCAAGATTGACTATACAGTTGTGCAGGAGGACCTAGAGATTTCTAGAGAGGTGTTCACTCAGGTAAAATAAATAATGTTTGTTATTCACGGTTTTCCCAATTTCATGGGGGTCTTACACACCTAACCCCAGTAAAGATGGAGGGATAGCTGCAATTACAAGACAAAGATTACTGTTCAATCATTTGAAGTAAAGTGAGTTGTTGTTGGGTTTTTCGGGCTATATGGCCATGTTCTAGAGGCATTTTCTCCTGACGTTTCGCCTGCATCTATGGCAAGCATCCTCAGAGGTAGTGAGGTCTGTTGGAACTAGGAAAATGGGTTTATATATCTGTGGAATGACCAGGGTGGCAAAGAACTCTTGTCTGTTGGAGCTAGGTGTGAATGTTTCAACTGACCACCTTGATTAGCATTTGATGGCCTGGCAGTGCTGGGGCAATCATTTGTTGAGAGGTGCTTAGATGTCCCAGATTGTTTCCTCTCTGTTGTTTTGCTGTTGAAATTTTAGAGTTTTTTAATACTGGTAGCCAGATTTTGTTCCCATTTTCATGGTCAAAAAATCCTTATCTCTGAGGATGCTTGCCATAGATGCAGGCGAAATGTCAGGAGAAAATGCCTCTAGAACATGGCCATATAGCCCAAAAAAACCTACAACAACCCAGTGATTTCGGCCATGAAAGCCATCGACAATACATTTGAAGTAAAGCTTTTGTCAAAAGGATCTTCAAGTTGTAGGAATAGGCGATCACTGCAGAGGCGGCCTTTATCCTAAGTCACCATTTGCCTGACTCCTGAGAAGGGTGCTTCATAGTCATCTTAAGAAATGGAAAGTTTCAACGGACAGAACTAAGCTATCAAAGATATGGTGGAGAAAATAAATAAATTTAATCTGCTTATGGGAGACTACTACTCAGCTGACTCCCAGATCAAGAAAATGCAAGAAGAGCAGAAGAGAAGGGCTACAGAAAGGGAGAGGGAGGGAGCTATACAGCACAGTTTTAATAATAATAATAATAATAATAACAACAACAACAACAACAACAACAACAACAACAACAACAACCTCACAATTTTGGGAAAAAACCAAGTATGGATCGTCGATGTTGAAAATTCCCGGGAAACAGCAGAATTGACAAGAAGCAACTGATAAAGCTTACAAGATATGAGGATTTAATGATAGAACTGCAAAGACTGGCACAAACCAGTAAAGGTGGTCCCAGTGCTGATCGGCACATTGGGTGCAACGCCTTAACCATTTTAATGTATATGGATGTATTTAATATGTGTTTTATATCATGTTTGGCACTGAATTGTGGCCTGTTTGGAAGCAATTCTGAGTCCCTCCTCAAAGGTCAAGAAGGACAGAGTATAAATGCTTGAAATAAATAAAATAAATAAATCCTGGCTTGGATGGCTGGACTTTGGCAATACCACATTGATCTGACTCTAACAAGGGCTGCATCCACCTGATACTTGGTGAAGCTCCTCTACTGATGTGACTTCTTCTCTAATTCACCACTTCTCAATTTTTCATCATGAGTGGTTGGACTTGGGTAGCTCTGCACTAGCCTGACTCTAGGCTCATTGCTTGCCTCTTCAAGCTTGTCATTCTCTCCTCCATTTTCCACTTGCTCCGTCACTGGTGGCTGAACTTCTTGGTTTGCTCTAATGCTTTATAGTTGCAGTATAACTGAATTTTTGCTGCTCTGCTGTTGTTCTTTGCACATTGCTTCCTCATACCCACAGAAGGAGGAACAGTAAGTGTGTTAGCCGCAGTCTAGAAACACTAAAAACTCCTGGCCTGGTTAACAACAAATCCATGACTTGCCAGAAAGAAGTGGTGACTGAAACAAACCACTCTGGTTATCTCCATAGAAAGCAATTGATAAGAGGACCATCCAGAAATAGGGTAATTATAAACGTGAGCATAACAACACACACTCCTAAAAATGTACCATTATCTTCTTAAAGGTCACAAGAGTTAAAGACAACCCTAAGAGAAAATGCTTACATAGAACTGATCCAAAATTGTGGATAGATGTCCTTGGAGGTATTACTTCGAGTGGAAGTAGACCCTGAAAAAGTGATTCATTAACCCATGATCTGTCCCTTCACAGATATATTAATTAGGAAATAAGGCAGTTTACTGAATGGTACTTTCTACAAGCATGGAAGAAAGTCATCCCATGAAACTGACTCATGCCCCTCAAGATTTCATTGTCTAAAACATTTGAACTTACATTTTGTCCTGACCAGCTCCCACTTTCAGTGTCAGCCTGGGAATCACAGGAGATGGTGCTGGAACAACAGGTTCCACTTTGATCTGCTAAAGGAAATAAATGCATTTCAGTGTGAAAAACATGCTGCATATTTCAAAGAGAAATATTCAAACCACCTGAATATTTGTGTTTTTAATTTTTAAATTGCTTTTAAATTTTTGCTTTAATGTATAATTTCTATTGTCTGTTGATGGTGTCGAATTGTAAGACTGCACTAAGTCCCCTTTGGGGTTGAGAAGGACAGGATATAACTACAGTAAATACATATGGACACATATAATGAGAAATGGTGTATATAATTTCACCATAGAACAGGTTCCAGCTCAAATCATAGGAAGCCATTTGGGGAAAAGTAAAACATCACATCTACTATTTAGTAGATGAAATACTGGCATGGTCCTTTGTGAAACCCTTTCTCCCATGCTGTATTTATATGACAGGCAAAGCATAACTAAAGGAAAATATTTAAAGTATCTGTGCAATGTTCTTCAGTTCCAAGCTCTGATTATTGTTCATATCAACACAAACTTATATGGTTGCCACAAAAATAATTGGTGCAACAAAACAACAAAAACAGTTGAGAACACAACAGAAAAATTCTAGTACATTCCTATTCTTGGGCCAAAGATGACACAACAGAAGGCCTGAGGAAATAGAGTTGTTGTCTATGGCTGAAATTTGGCACCAAGTATCAGCAGTTCAAACAAAGGGTGTCACAACAGACACCACCCACCTTACTACAGAATTCTAAGCTATAGACTGAAGTTGAAAGTACTCAACTGAAATTAATGCTGCAAGTCATGTAAATGTATACAGGTGAGTCTTAAACTTAAACTTGTTTATTGGATGGGGCTGACTTCAAGTATGGTACTGTTTTTTTTTAATGTTCCTTACTCTGAATTTGGACATTTAAAGACAAAGAACATTTAGAAAAGGCCTTTCTGTCCTTTGTCAAGTGGCAGCCTTCAAATCCTTGTTTACATTCTTGCATCTGAAATTGACTTTTTCTTTAAGAATTCCAAGAAGGCACGTCCAATAACGCTTTGCAAAATCATGTAAATGGCTAAGACTCAGTTAATGAATCCGTAAGGGTCTTCATAAATACAATCAATCACACTGCTTTTAGTCTTAGTCTTTCCCATGGAATGTGACCACTTACAGTGGAGGTTACATTTCAACAGCTTTGTTCGTTGTCATTTAGGCAACTTGCTAGAATGGCATTTGGCAAAGAAGCATGTTAATAGTCCTCTTGCTGGTTTATCAGATGCCTCTGGGCATTCCTGCCATGTTTGGCCCCATCAGCTGCTTTGTAGAGGTATATGGCTTGAGTTTGATTTGCTTGCCCTGACTAGTAGTCATCAATAGATTCAGACTATTACTGTATATACTGAAGTATAAGCTGACCCAAGTATAAGTCAAGGCACCGCATTTTACCACAAAAACTGGGAAAACATATTGACTCGAGTATAAGCCGAGAGTGCGAAATGCAGCAGCGACTGGTAAATTTCAAAATAAAAATAAATACCAATAAAATTACATTAATTAAGGCATAGTAGATTAAATGTTTTTGAATATTTACATAAAACTGTAATTTACGATAAGATTGTCAAACTCTGATTAAACCATTATTCTTCCAATAATAGAGAGTAAAATAATAAATGTAATAATAATAAAAAAGTAAAATAATGGAAAAGTAGTAACAACAGTAATAATAGAGTAAAATAATAATTGTAATAATAATAATATAGTAAAATAATAAATGAAATAATAGTAATAGAGTAAAATAATAATTGTAATAATAATAATATAGTAAAATAATAAATGAAATAATAGTAATAGAGTAAAATAATAAATGTAATAATAATAGAGTGAAACAATAAATGTAATAATAATAGAGGAAATTAATGTAAATGTAATAATAATATAGTAATAGAGGAAAATAATAAATATAATAAAATTATAATAACAGAGTAAAATAATATATAACTTGGACTTGAGTAGAAGCTGAGGGGGGCCTTTTCAGTCTGAAAAAGGGGCTGAAAACTTGGCTTATACTCGAGTATATACGGTAACTTCCAGAAGCTTATAGCTAATGGTCATGTTGACTAGACACTGTATTTATTTATTTATTATTTATTTATTTACAGCTTTTATATTCCGCCCTTCTCACCCCGCAGGGGACTCAGGGCGGATTACAGTGTACACATATATGGCAAACATTCAATGCCAATTTTGACATACAACATATACAGACAGACAGAGGCTATTTAACTTTTTTCTGGCCGCCAGGGGAGCTGTCGCTTTCATCGTCCATCTGCGACACTGATGAAGTACTTCCGCATTCCCCGCATGCTTTTGCTGAAGTCTTTTTTTATGGCCTCATAAATTAGTTAATTTAGCCTCCCCACACTTTAAGGTGGTACCTTATTTTCCTACTTGACAGATGCAACTGTCTTTCGGGTTGCAAAGGTCGACAACGGGCTACACAATTGGTTGGAAACCCACTCCAACCCGGGCTGGCTTCGAACTCATGACCTTTTGGTCAGAGTGATCTTAATGCAGCTGACACTCAGCCAGCTGCGCCACAATCCCGGTGCCTGTAGTCCCAAGGAGTAACTTTCTCCAAATTCTTCATCAAATTTTTCAGGTAGCATCGAATGTATTTGAGACTAGGGGTCTGTGGGAGCTGAATTTATGGGCAAGTGCATATTGTGTGTGTATGTGTGAAAGAGAGGGAGGAAGGGAGAGAAAGGAAGAGAAAGGCTGATCTTAAAAAAAAAATCCAAGATGTTAAGGGGACATGAACTAGTGGTGGTTAGAAATTAAAGAGCTCCGATTCTAAAGTAATACTGGGAATTCAGGCCAGCAGAAGAGCATTTACAGTGGATTACTAAGCTTCCCAAATCACCAAAGAGGTAAAGTCCAGCAATATAAGACTCCTTTGTAGCTAACTAAAAATACATTGTCAGTGGATTTGTCCAGTTTTATGTATAAGCAATACTTCTTTCACCTGAACTAATACTAGTAGTCATATAAGCCCCTTATTGCCATGTGCTGCATTTTTTTTCCTTTTTGCTAATCTTCAAGGATTTAGCTTCTTTGCCACATACCTCAGGGCACCAACTGATAAAGCTCTAACTCTCCGTTTTTCCAGGACACCAGCAGAGCGGCCTTGCAAAAAATGAAAATCACTCAAGAGATTTAAAAGGAGGGAAATTTATTTTCAAAATCCTGACTTGCAGCAAAGAGGTGGACTTTTCCTGTCTATTTTTTCTCCCAGAAAAAGCTTATCTGTTGAGATCAGTTTAAATTTTAATTCTATCTAGGGACTCTTTCATGCAGTCTAGCTTTAAAGTTTATCTTTTGACAGGGACTTTTCACCAAGGTAACAGGAAGCTTTGTCAATGTAATCTGCCCAAGCTTATATTGCTTTTCCTATAATACAATATATTTTAGGACTATAAAGAATAGACTTTTAATAGGTTATATCACAGCATTATAGTCCTAATGTTACACTGAATTAGAAAAAAAAAGCCAGGAGACAGGAACTAGTCATGGAATAGGAAGAGAACTATCATTTCATTCTATCTAGAGTCATTTCGATCATTTGAGAGTTGGTACACATACCATAGTTTTGGATACAGCTGCATCTCCTCCCAGTATCTGTAAATAACATCAATGTTTTAGATCACAATGAACAACAATTTCCCAATGCAAAGACTTTCATAATGTACAGATATTGATTTACACATCATTTCACTTCTATACAGGTTGAGCACCCCTTTTCTGGAATTACAAAATCTAAAATACTCCAAATTTTGAAATTCTTCAGATGGGTGGCTAAGGTACCTTGGTTTTTTGATGATTTAATGCACACAAACTTTGTTTAATGCACAAAGTTATTGAAAATATTGTGTATAAAATTATTTCCAATCTATATACGGTAAATAAGAAACATTAATCACATTTATGTTCAAACTTAGGTTCAATCTCTGTGAAATCTCATTGTGTATGCATATGTAAATAATGGAATAGCATTCTAAAATCTGGAAAGAAATCTGAATTTCAAAACACTTCTGGTCCCAAGCATTTTAGATAAGGGATACAGAAGTTCTTTGGGAATTAGAAAGATGAAGGAGGGGTCCCTAACACAAAACCTTCCCATTAAACAAAGGGGTTGGGAGAGAACATGGAAGCAAATGGGTATGGTAGACAAGCTAGGGCAGTGGTTCCTAACCTGTGCTCTGTGGACCACCAGTGGTCCATAAGAATAAAAATACGATCTGTGGCCTCACAATTGCCACACCTTTGCCTCGAAACCAAATGGCAACAAAAGCGACTGGTCTCGTGAAACCCTCTTATAGTCTTGAGGAAATGGGGATGTCAGGAGGGTAGAGGCTCACTACACATAAAAGATTACTATTACCACGTCAGCTCTAGATCATTAAATATGGTTTTCTGTGGATGAGCAGATGGCGGCTACTAGATAGCATATGTTCTGTATCATAAACTAGAGCTGATGTAGTCAATCCAATGCAATTTTCTGAATCAGCACCTCAAATAACCAAACTGAATCTAAAGTTGATCAAAAACCGATTCGTAAACCTTTTGGTACTAATGTTGGAGAGTGCTGCCTGGTCAAAGTGGTCCTTGGTCAAAGTGGTCCCTGGTCAAAAACTGGATAGGAGCCACTGAGCTAGGAGAAGATGGCAAAAGATGAAAACACACTGTCTAAAATCTTTCTATTCCAAATGACTTTATGTTTTCACTAGCAGAGCCACCTCTTTATCCATCTTCCCCTAAAGGATTGAGGTAAACCTTTCCTTTCTCTCCCCTGTCTTCACCTTCCAGATACGCAAAATCTATTCTTATTCACAGTCTGCAAAATCTGTTCTTATTCACAGGAGGAATGCTATACCTTTGAAATCAGGGGCAATATGAACAAAAAGAAACCAAGGTGGTGAGTTCTCTTCTCCCACTCAATTTCAAAACATATGGTTAGAATACAGAGGGTGTCTAATAACACAACATAGCAATGTATTCATAATATGACAAAATAAATTTGGCAAGCAATGGTTTCTGCATAATGAGCAAACAATCTGTAAGCTTACAAAATTCCTTGTAGAATAAACCCAGAAATAACATTTCTTTCTCTCTAAAGGAAGTGAATCATGTCTTCCAGTTGTATGTCCAGCTAGGCTTACAAAATGGGTATTACAATTTCTTAGGGAAAAGGCTGCACCAAGCACATATTCTTCATTTTTAATGCCCCTCTCAAAGTTTAAAGGTCACTTTTGTGTGCCTTCAAGATGCTTTCAATACATCGCAACTCTAAAGAGAACCTATTGTGGGGCTGACTGTATGTGATTTACTTAATTATGCTCTTCAGAACCATAATAATACGATAGAATTATTATCTGAACAGTTCAATTTATGGGGAAGGAGACCTTGTGGTTTTCCCAGTGTTCTTGGACTAGAATTCACATGACCCTCAATCACTAGCAATGATGGCTGCGTCTCTTGGGAGTCCAACAACATCTGAAGGATATGAGACTCCCAAACCTCTTATATGGTCAACACTGCCCTATTCTACTTGCTGCTCAACACATAAATCACAGTGAGTGAAAACATTGGTTCATCTTGGCCAGTATTGTCTACTTTGAGCAGCAGTAGGCTTGAATGGTCTCTGGCCAGGCTTCTTACAGACCTAAGATGTTTTAAATTTGGAATTATTTTTTTCTAACTGGAAACTAAACCTAGGAGTTTCCCTAAAACATTTGTTTATTGTGTTTAGGTCTACAAGAAAAAAAAAGAATGCATATATTTATGAAGCTGGTATGGAGGTTGACAGCGCAAAGGTCTTTCAATGGGTTTCTTGAGATGTAGTCCCTATATTTCAAGAAAATATGTGTCTAGTGGGAAAGAAAGATGTCATGATCATTGCTTGCATTTACTCATTTTATGCTTGCCTCCTTCTACCAACACCCCACAACAGCTTCTCTGGTCAAAAGTAGACTGCAAACACCCTTTAATTTTAAAAATAGCATTGACATGGGAATGCTGAAAAGCAGTGGAAGAAATTAAAACTGTATCAAAAATATGTTGTTCAGAAAGCTAATTTTAAAATCTTTAGAACTCATAGTCTCATCTAACAATTGTGAAACTCTTTAAAGGAATTCTAATTTTATGTTTAATATTTTATTGTGTTACAGTGGTTATCAACTTGTGGGTCCCCAGGTGTTTTGGCCTACAACTCCCAGAAATCCCAGATAGTTTACCAGCTGTTAGGATTTCTGGGAGTTGACGGCCAAAACATCTGGGGACCCACAGGTTGAGAACCAATTCTTAGAACATTAACTTTTTCCCCTTCCTAAAACCTTTCACCCTTTGTAGGACCATCCAATTTCCTAGCACACATTTTGAGAGCCAGTAAGGAGGAAGGACAAGCACCACATCCCTTTGGGTTCCCTGGTGGAAATAGATTTTACCCTAAAATTGATGTACTGATCTAGTGTAAAGATTCCTCCACCACATATAACAACATACTTTTTCATGTTTATGTTTCTCTTTCTCCTTCTCTTTTTTCTCTCTTTCCTTCTTTTCTTTTTCCTTCTCTTTCTTCTCCTTTTCTTTGTCTTTCTCCCTCTCTTTCTTCTTCTTCTTTTCTTTTTTGTCTTTCTTCTTTTCTTTGGGCTTTTCTTTCTCTTCAAAGAGTTTCTCAGGTAGCATTGTTGAGAGAGGGGCCATCAATGACGGCAGCTTCATAGCAGTTGGAGTACTAAACAAAGGCAGGGACAGGTCTTTGGAAGGCAAAACAAGAGGTGCCGAGGAAGTTTTTATCTTTTCTTTTCTGTCTTTCGCTTTATCTTTTTCTTTCTTTTCTTTATCTTTCTTGCCCTTTTCTTTATCCTTTTTCTTGTCTTTATGCTTATCTCGCTCTTTTTTGGAGCTGCCATCTTTTACTTTGACTTTGGGGTCATCGTCAAAGTCCTTCATTTTGTACTTGTAGGCATCCAAATCATCATCTCTGATCAGTTCCTTCCATGGAAATTTCATTTCTTTGCCTCCTTCCTTGTCTTTATCCTTGTCTTTATTTTTCTCCTTGTCTTTATTCTTCTCTTTGTTTTTCTCCTTGTCCTTCTGCTTCTCTTTCTTTTTCATTTTTGTCTTCAGCTCTTTTTTCAGTTTCTTCTTAACTTCTACTGTTGAAGCCAATTTAGTTTTCTCCTCGTAAAGTTTGAATAGAGGTTCTGGAGTTGGCGGAGAAGCAGAAGGAGACGAAAAGTAAGGAAAGCTTGTGGGTAAATTAGCAGGATTTCCCATGTTTGCTTTTCGAATGACTTCGTCTATTGAGTCATCCATTGTCCATGAAATATCTGAACTTGATGTTCCACCAGAAGGAGGAATGGGGGTGCTTCCTGCTTTATTTACACTACTGTTGGCTGAAACAGAAGCTTTAGGTGTTGTAGTCTCTGACACAGACAGTCTTTTAGGACTGGTAAAAATGTCCCCTTCTGACTCTGACCCTGAGGAAAACTCAAATGGATCAGGATCCCGTTCGGCACATGCACGGGCAATTACAGCATCAATGGAATCATCGATTGTCTTATCTGTCACTGCCACTTTCTTTGCTGGATTCTCACTACTGGGTTTCCCAGGGTCAACTGGTGGTGGGGTTTGTTTTATCTGAATATTCTCTTTCCCAATCTTTTCACTTAATGCTGCTAAGGGAGTTCTACTTGGTGCCTCCTGCTTAACTACTACTTGAGGAACATGAGCTGGAACCTTTGGGCTCTTAGGGCTTCTAGGACTCTTGGATCGGCCTGGTGATTTCTTCTCTTTGGTTCCACTTTTTGGTGACCGAATGGGGCTTCCAACAGCTACTGGGGATGGAACAGCTTTTGGCGTTTTAGTCTTTTGCCCTGGAGACGTTGTTTTCACTTTTGCTTTAGGAGCAAATGCTCTTGGTTCCAATGGTTTGGAAACTGGCAACTGTGATTTTGCAATAGGAGCCAGTATGGGTGGCTCAGGAGAAAGAGGGACCTGATCTGCACTATCCTGAACACAAACCGGAGAAAGCATTGGCGGCACCTTCTGAGTGTTTATTGAACTAAGAGGCTCACGTGGCTCTACTGTCCCGTCCAGAGTCTCTCCCTTTATACTGGCTAGTCTTGGCCGCTTCATAGCAGGCATTTCCTCAGACTCTGGGCTTTCCAGTGGTCTTTTGCTTAAGTAATTTTCATCATTAACAGTTTCATCTTCTTCCATTTCTCCTTCTTCCTCCAGTGGAACCTGCATGGCTTCTGCTGAAGTTCCTCCATCTGTAGGCACCTGCTCCTCTTCTTCCTCTGTTGTAATAAACAAGAAAAGGAGAAGTCATTGGTATACACCAAACAACACAACTTTCTGCAAGGAGGTCACCAGAAACATCAATGGATTGAATGACGTATTTTAGCAAATGGGCAAAGATGAAGAAAACATTTCACTAATTAAAATCATACATATACTTCACATGAATAGAGAGAGTTTGTGTGCAATGCTTATATATTCAAAATATAGTCTAATTCATAGGGTCATCATAAACTAACGGTGAATTTCACAAATCCAGTTGCTAGTTACAACTCAACCAAATAAATCAATGGAAAATACATATTAGTTGCCTTATCAGGTTCTCATTGAGTCAATCAGTCTGTTTTGATGGATTGTCACCTTGTTGTGATGAGGGGCTTGCTTGTTCCAGTGAACCTGCGGGCATAACCACCAGAGTCATGCACTACCAGGAGAGGCCACAGGGGAGGTTCCAGACCAAACACAATCTGAAGACCTGAAGACCTCAATAACAAATCAGGTGGAGGAAAACATGGTACACGTTACAACTGTTGTAAAGGCGGAAGAAGGCTGTAACAGATTGAGAAGCCATTGTCGATATGTTAAGCATGCCACTGGTTGGGACCTCACTCTGTGAAGACTGTATGTTGATTGGCTGTGCACCGACCTCCACACATTAAAAAAACCCCTCACACACAGGTGTCTCCCAAGAAAAAAGAAAAAGAAATGAAAGGTGCATCAAGCCAACCTTGACCAGAACCGCCTTCCACTTGGAAACTAATTTCCTCACTGCAGGAGAACATACGGATGAAGAACAGAGCTCCGCAGCTACCTACGACCCCACCACCAAGACACGACACTTTGGTTGACCATCATCCTCGGGCTATGAGGGATCGCCTAAGTAAGTAAGGAAGTCTAGTTCAAACTAACAACTGGAACAAGAAAATTAAGGCTGTGTCTGTCATCTAGACTAAACCTAGAAATGAACATCCATGTCTGATATCAGAGGAATTTGAAATTTCTTTCCTTCTCTCTCCTACTTGAGCCTTCTAGGGCAGGTTTTTAGGTGCAGAGGGTAAGAGCCAGAGGAGGAAAGTAGGAGATTCCAGTAAAAGTCATGGGATCCAGCAGAAGTACACTTCCAGATCCCAGACTAGGGTGTCTGGCACCAAATTTCTTCTAAGAAGAGATACATGTAGTTCCTGTCCAGATTTGTAGTGCAATTTTAAAAAGAAAATCACTGCAGCTACAGGTTTCACTCCAACAACTAGTCTATATCTTTACTTCTATTGCATAGCCTTTGCATCTCTGTTTCTTCCAACTTCTTAACAAGCTACCTTTTCTGGCATTGCCTTAGGAATACGGGAGCTGATGCAGTACATGAACTTCTTCCGCTTGCTCAAATAGAAGCCCTTTATTTATCTTCTTTAACCAAGCTTTTGAGGCTTAGTATTAGCAAAGACTTTAGAAACCAAAGAAAAGCAACCTGTAGATACTATTGCAAAAGAAAATCCAAAATTATTTATTTTGGGGTCAGGAGAGGCTATACAGGGCTGTTATTTCAACAAACACTGCTTTGAAAAAAGCACAGTATATAATTCTGAAAGTGTTCAAAGTCTTCCTTTATTCTGATTCCAACTTAAAGAATCTCATTTGGAAGAGTTTCCTTTCAGGCCTTGGGAGGGGATGGTTCTTTCCTCTAAAATGTGTCAATGCCCCGATTTAGGAGAGCTGAGTCAAGAGCCCTGGGCTGAGGCAAGAATTTGTGCCAGCATCCCAAATTAAGTAAAAAACGAGCGAACAAGTCAGGCTTTTGCCAAGGCCCAAAGGATTTACAGCAGACAGTCCAGAGTGGAGACTTTGCCCGAGGATAAAACCTTAGCCTTCTGTGAAAAACAGAAAAGTGTTAGGCAGTTCAGTTTTGCTTGGATGGACATGCACATTTCTGTCTCTTAAAAAAACATCGGAGGAGAGAGAGGGAAGCGAAAATCAGTCTCGACTGAGTCGGCACCTGTTAGAAACAGACTGAACTGCCAGTTTCTGGGTTGCAGGCTCCACAAATCTGGTTCAATCACTATCTGATGTATTATATGAATTAAATATGCTCTTGTCCCCTATAATGGCATGGATTTAGAAGAGAAGTGAGCAGAGCTGGAAACAAATATTTCAAATTCATACGCTTCAGCGACAAAGTTACACACTTGGTACAGAGCTAGAAAATACATTGCTATTCCTGACCTCCCCACATCCATTTCTCAAGACCTAAGCAATTATGATTTCTTCAGCCACAGAAACAGTCCCTGATCTATACCAAGAAGTATAGTATAAGCACTTTTTCTTCCCAACATCCATAGATGATGGCTGGAGGTCAAGATTTATTAACAATTACTCTAAGAAGTGTTTACAATATTGAAAAGCCTGACACAATTCTGAAGTATTCTAGGTGAAGTAAAGTTATGAAGTATTTTATATTAATATCCACACTCATAGGTCCAAACCAAGAAATGATTCTTACAAAGAGCAGAACAGAGAGCAATGTGTTGTGATTTTGACACTTAGGACTGAAAAATAGATATTCGAATAATTTAATCTATGTGGGTGGGCGTTGCCTATCAACTTATGGTGAATCCATGAATGTCATAGGGATTTCTTAGGCAACAAATACTTAAGAGGTGTTTTGTTATATTTCTCTTGAAATATAGCTTACACACCTAGAATTTGTTGTCAGTCACCCATCCAAGTACTAGCCAGAGATGACTCTGCTCAGCTTCCAAGATCAGATGGGATCTGGTGACTCTAGGGAAGTGGTTCCCAACCTGATGGTTCCCAGGTGTCTTGGCCTACAACTCCTAGAAATCCCAGCCATTTTACCAGCTGTTAAGATTTCTGGGACTTGAAGGCCAAAACATCTGGGGACCTACAGGTTGAGAACCACTGCTCTAGGTATGTGTAGAAAAAGCTACAGGCAAGGATGAAGGTTGGATCATAACCCTTTCCCCTGACAAGCTAGCTTTCTGTCATCCCTCCATATTGCAGTGTTGACTTTTGCAGATTTGATTATTCACGGGTTTGTTCTCTCTAGAAATCTCTAGATCCTCCAGTGTGACTCTATGGTCAACTTCCTCCAATCATACTGGAGGACCTAGAGATTTCTAGATAGAGCATTTCCCTAGGAATCTCTAAATCCTCCAGTACATTTCTGTGGTCAGCTTCCAGTGGAAGTCAACCACAAACTCATGCTGGAAAACCTAGGAATTTATAGCGAGGTATTCTCTTTAGTAAAAAAACTACAAAAAACCCACACAATCTTCATTCACAATTTTTCACTTTTACAAGGGTTCTGTAATAGTCTAGCACAGTGGTTCTCAATCAGGTTTTTTGGCCTACAACTCCCAGAAATCCCAGCCAGTTTGTCAGCTGTTAGGATTTCTGGGAGTTGAAGGCCAAAACATCTGGGGATCCACAGGTTGAGAACCACTGCACTAGCAAGGAATGACATCTTCTCTAAATTCAGGATAATGTATTTCCTGCTTTTAGTCTTCTTAGTAGTTCAAGATGTGAAGAAATCATTCATTCACTGCCACTCATTTATCTAGGTTGAAGCATAAAAATATAAGAGCACATGCCCATGACAGCAGTTTAGGTAATAAAAATTAGCAACAGTCTTTCCCTTTTCTGGTCAATGGCTTTCGGGCATCATGCCTTTGGCTATCAAAAGTAGCATGAACAATAATAATAAGAAACATAAAAATCTAAGTGCACACAAATATTGGTTTGATTCTATCCCACAACAAGTCCAGCCTTGTTCTTCACTCCAAAATGCCATTTTCTTCTGCAATCTGCAGGTTACATCCTACAAATTCCGTTCTCAGGAACAGCATCAAGAGAACAAAATGAATGAAACAAATTGCAAATCCGAGCAGCTTTCCTGGGTTGTGTGCAACAGGCCCTGGGTCTCATCAATAAATCAGACTTCTTGGACCAAAGAACTCAGTAAAGTATACACACTATATTCCTTGCTTAAACATATTTCATTTTTCCTGTTAAAAATGAAATTATTAGCAAAGACAAGGTAATTAGGCAGTGACAACCCGCACGCTGCAACCAATCAATAACAGGAGTATATTAACTAGGCTGACAGTTGTACCACACTGATGGGTTGTAAATGGTTTGAGACTGACCTGCAAAAACACAGCATTTCCCTAACATTCTGCACAATAAAAAGAGAGCCCTAAAATGCTATATAAGCAAGCTAACCTGAAATGACACCTGGTATTATAAATGGCCTAATCTATATGTTAATATGGTTGTATCACATAACTGCAGCAAGACTAAGATAACAATATGACTTTGGGGTTTCTATGGCTACCATCCTGGGCAAACGCTCCGGAAAGTGCCTCATTGCTGACACCACACAAGCTTTCCGAGGGCTTCTCTTTGGTTATTTATGATATGATTTATGATAACGACAACATCTCCCATTTTCTCTCCTCGTCAGATACAATAAATTGCCATCGTTAATCACTGCTCTTGGTTCGGGCCCGATTACAATAGTATAATAGGGGCACAGCTATGGTAATAGTGTGCATTAAGGTGAGATTTCTCACACCCGCTCATTCCTGATAAAAGAAATATGAATTTGGAGATCATCAGAGACAATGTCACTATCTGGAGTATTTCAATAATCTTCCTTTTGAGTGCTTCTGAGTTGGGCATTTCGGAGCCATCTAAGATTCTCCACTGATCTTTAGACTATGTCCGAGATTACATTTTATGTACCAAACACTGGAAATCTGTGAAGTATCGGCACTTTTTATGTACTGTCACTGGAACATTTGAGTGAGTGAATGTGTCTGCATGCATAAATAGGCAGCTCTTCCACTAGTGTATATCTTTTAAACATGGTGGGGAAGTGGACGGTATTTCAAACTAACATCAAGAATGACAATATCTTATTTAGAAATAACAAGGGAGATGCATTATCAAATGCAACAAGACAGCTCTCCTTGCCATCCATATA